TATTGTGGATTGGAGAAGTATACTACTTCAACAAATGCAATCTTTCAAGTGTTATTGATGAGTTGAGTGGGTGTGTAACGATGCTTTGTGAGGTCTTCATACATGCTGCGTTAACCATGGGCACATATTTGATGGATACATGTACTATCTGTATTTTTTTTTTTTCCTGAAAGGCATGTATTTACTATCTTGTGTTTTAAGGATATTTATCCTTGATTTGTTAGTTCTAATTTGGGTTTTTGTAGGCGTAAATATTTCTTAAGTTTGATGTAGCATGTCAAGGTAGCTGGTAAGATCTAAAACACAAGGTTTGTTTTGATGATGGTCCTTGGCAAACCAATGTTGCAATTCGTATAATGTTTCCATGGATTTGCTTGGTACACTTGCATTTTTATATGGTTTATTTGGTCATAGAGTTGACGCTTTTTTGGAAGTGAAGTGACATTATTTCTCAAAAGGAAAGTCAATTGCTTAATTTTCTGGCCCCTTCTCTTTTTCTATGGTACGGATGGGGTAGTGCATTTGGTGGCACAATGAAATGTGATTTAGTATGATGATCATTTTCCATTCAGTCATTTCTACTTGTAGTCAATGAGTTTAATAGATAATTGTCTCGAAAATGTTCGGGAAATACATCATGAAACACTAGGAACAGCAATCAAATGAAAACAGTGGGAAATTGTAGGAATCCCAGATTTCTCAATGGCGGCAGAAATCAAGCAGACAGCAGCAGCACCAAGCACAAAACTGATGTGGAGAAAGCAAAAATGGTAACATCATCAGGGATAGAAAATCAAAACAGGAGAGAATTTGAAAAGAGGGAAGGAAGGAACTCACTTGCCCACCATCCCTTCCAGAAGACATCACCCTTGTTTCGGGGATGTGTATTTTGGGGGTACCCGGAGGTGGAACTGTCCTTGACTCCTTGGTAGGATAACCAACCGGCGGGATTGGCAAGATAACAAGGACCGTCAGGGGTGGCCTCCACCGGCTGTGGTGGTGGGTATGCAGACATAGCTCCTGAAGGATCTACTACTGAAGAAAACAAAAATATTCTGAAATGAAACTTTACACATTTTTTGCTTGATATAGAATGAATGCATAGGAGCATTTGAAGATAAATATCGTACACCAACAAGAAACTGATTGATCGATAAAGAAAACTTTGTTTCCGAAAACATCTTGTTGATAGGGCAGAGGAATACTGCAGGGGAGACTACCAGGGGGTTTAACATGAAGCGTGTTTGTATGGAGGCTACTATAGAGGCTGGCAAAAATGTGTCATTAGAAAAAATTCATCTACAATGAGAAGAGAAGCCGTTAGTAGTGACAAAAGGGTTTGGGTCTGCAGGGGCCATCATGGCTAAGGAATATTGTCAATTCAATTCACAAAGCAAATTTGAGCTGCAACAAACATGAGACGTTAGCACTAACAAGTTTTGATTAAATTGGTACTTACTAACTTAATATAAGAATATTGTAGTTATAAAATTAGATAAGATTATAGATTTATAATCATGACGTATCGTTAAATAAATAAATATAATATTATAAATATATCTTTTAATAAAAAAAATCAATTATATAATAATATATAAATTTATAATATTATATGATATTATAACTATATTTTTTTTTTTAAATTAAAAACCTCAATTTGAAGTAATGTCAACTTACTAACCTTTTAATGTACAAAAATAATAATAATAATAGTAATGAAACATTTGCTATTCTTCTTGTAGCATGCACAAAGCAATGCCTATTAGTGAATAAGCTTTTAAAAGAGGCTCAAATAGAGCTAAAACCTAAGACTAACATGCTCAATCTCTGAGTTTTATTTCAATTGCTTAATTAAGTAAAAGTCTCGCAAGCAGCACAAGCAGAGTCAGTTCTAATGTATGAATCTAGCTAGGATATTCAACTTACAACTCTGAGGCTCAATGGGCAACATTTTTTCTCTATGGACAACATTTTATTTTTTTGACATTAATTATTATTCAAAAAAAGATAACATTTATTTAATGAATTGTTCTATTAAAATAATTTACATGGTATTAATAATAAAATTAATATTACTTTTTATACTTTTTAATATAAATTAATATAAAAAATATATTTATTTTCCACCTCACATATGTTATTGCAAAGGTTAAAAAACCTTCAACTATTTGCTCCTGCAGTAAATGGAATGGGGCCGAATCTAACATCTTTTACTAACTAATATTTCAAATCCAAATGTAACAACTTCCCAGACTCCAACCTACATTGCAGAAAAGGACAAAAGGTAAAAAAAGATAAAAAAAAAATTCCAGAGTAATAAAACAATAAATAATTAATACTGGTTGTTGGTTGCATTGTTAAATGCAGAAGATGCCTTGTAAAGGGAGTGGTAGTTGCAGCAAACAATATGTGTGGCCAATTCAGTGTAGAAACATGAAATGGAAATCTCTGAAAGCAACTCAATATGTTTATAGTACAGTGTGTCCACTTGTGTCTTCCAAAAATGCAGAGGTCCCATTCAACACCCACCATCATGACTGTTCTTCTCTGCTGCAGATTTTGGTAAAAACATGAATGTGATACAACAGGAACTGTCCTAATTAATAAAAAATAGGACAATCATATAGATCATGCTCATGCACATGGATACAAGAAAACACTGGCAAACCTAACTATAAGAAAATTGATGAAAAACAAAAAGGCATTGGAAATTGTGTCGGTGTTGAGGATGGGTAGTTTAGGGTGTTATTAAGAGACAAGTATTTTGAGTTAGTTTCCGCACGGTCTAATTAATGATCTAGATAAAGATAGGTAGTTTAGGTCAGGACTTCTAAGAGAGATTTGTAAGGATTTATATCATTATGTACCTCCCTAGATCACAAATTGGAGAGCAAACACAATCAGTCATTATAGGCCGAATCTTAGAGATTAGAGAAAGGTTTCCATATTCCCAAGAATGGTGACTTACCAAATCCAAAACAATTCTATTGAAAATTTCCTACTCTTTTCTTTTGCATCATTCATTGTGCATGCAAAGTCTGATGGTGAAGCCACCTTTGCTTTGTGTACTACCCACCAAGAGATGTCTACATTTCTCTCCTCTTAAATTATCAATCACCAAAAAAGGAATTTCTTTTTGTTTTTCCTTTTCTTTAGGAGGTGAAAGAATAGTCAATGAACCCTTCAGGAAAGAAAAGGAGAGAATCATATACCCTTTATCTTTTACTGCTTGGGGGCCCTTTATCAATGCAAGTTTCTTATTAACCAAACAGACAAATTTTCTTTTTCTTTCTAGGCAGAGATGAAAAAGCTACATAACATGCATTTGTAAGCATTAAATCCTCCTGAGCACAAGTAAGGTATGTTTCCAATACAAGAAATAATGATAGTTCAGC